GTCCTTCGAATGAGCTTAAATAGTATCCGAGTACATTGGTCCGAAGCGTCACAGTGGTCGGAACAGATGCGTGACCAGTCGATTGAACGCTGCTGAGGCACTAGATAGAACTTTTGGCATCACAAGCCATTCTCATAACATTCCGGAAAGTGTGTTCACAGTTGTCAAAGATTCGTCCTCTTCCCCATCAAATAATTTGATAATAGCCATCGACCAAATCAAGTGCACTAAATCGGGTACAGTCGGACGTACGGTCAATAATAACATCCTTACGCAAAATCGGCGATTGTCTGCGCATTAAAATTGTTTTAGACGTGTACAAGACGTAATTTAACATTTGGTTTGGGCACACATAATGTCGGTGCACAGTGAGAGAGCTTGCTCTCCCTAAATCAACCCAGCAGCTTGCTTTTAAGTAGAGAACTCATCAATAAATTGACTTTGTTCCCGCGACAGTGACCACTATCAAGCTATCGATCTATTTTGTGCCGTATATTGCGCCAATTCGGATCAGATTCCTTCGCGTTCGGATGAAAGACCACGGAGTGGATTTGCACTTAGTTTGTCATCTTTGTATTCCATAACAAATGAATAATATAGATCAATTGGAACCTTAGACATATCCGATCATCTACGTGACTCCACACGCTATCAAAACTCCTTGAAAATCGAGCCACCCATAACCGATGATGAGCGTAGTTCCGTTGAATCGGCCTTCGACTGCAGCAACACGACCTCCGTAATATCGTCACACTTGTGGTCGTGTAGGAAGTCACCATAACTGACCTCATCGAGCCGCACTAGCTCTTCCATTGTCAGCAACGGTTTCAACGGAGAACCTGTTCTTGTAACCGCACATTCACTCGTTGCATCCACGATACGTGGAACAGCGTCTTTACATGATGCATTTCCATCATGTGGAGTAGTACACCGGACTGATCCACCCGCGGACTCAGCCAGGAGTATTTACATCGCGATTAACAAATTCCGTTGATTTCTTCACATGTGTGCGCTCAACCATACGACGGGTGGATGCATATCTCCGTCAATAATTCTTCCTTTGGCCAAATCAGCATGCCCACCAACAATTCATTTGCTTTCGAGTGGCCAATTCCGGGATTCAATTGATCCATCGACAAACTTCCTAAGTGACCACCCATGGCCACTCCATATGACTTCGTATCTCCCCTAATGTCAGTTACACGACATACACTGATGAAGTGTGGATTCTGTTAAGCAGCATACGACTGCCTAGCGTCTTCTGGTGAATAGTGACAGTGAGTTCATTACTCCCAAGAGTTTCATCTGCACCAGAAAAACTACTTTCAATCGTTTTCGTTCGCCAATCGATCCATGGCTTGTGCTTCGCAAGCCACGGTGTGCCCAAAATCCGGTCATACCGTTTGTCCATCGCAAGGGCTGTAAATACCTCTCCGAGTTAAAGTCTTCCAACTGCACTAGAACATCAACTGTTGAGTTCTTCGCGGTATCCACCGCACCAGCTATACTATTCACTGAGATAAAGCCGTTGATTCTATCATGTGCATCCGAAAGCTCTAGACCGTTTTCAGTAGCGCTTTGCTTCCGCGCATAGTTAAAAGTCTCACCAGAGACAATCACGACAATAAACGGACGACCATAATTCTTCACACTCGTTATGACTCAAAAAGAACACTTCGATTCGTGTCATTAACGAAGATCAACGATCATTCAGGGGCTAAACCCTCACGATTGTACTACAATTACAAGAGTATATAAGTGCCCCCAGGAGACCGCTCTGGTTTCCCGAAGCCTCGTGGTAGTAGTATCACGTGACTCGAGACCATTTAGAAGAGAACGTATTGAGAGTTTCGTCTTTCACGCGAACGAATTTCGGCAGATATGAACTAGTTATTGACATCCGTATTGACGAACTTGCTGCATACGAACGCTCGCTGCGCTAAGGTCCGTTGGTTCCGAAAACTCGGTTGTAGCAGTGACTGCTGCGATCGAGCTGACCGATGGATCACATGCTTGACGCTGTCAGCAGTTCTCACGAAATGCAAGCATCATTGCATCCTCCAGAGTCGTCGGGCTCTGGCGAAATACATCCGTCTTAGGAGCACCATAAGTGAGTCCCTCCATAAACACGGCGATCAACACTGCATCTAAAAAAGGCTCACCCACCATGCTGACACAAAGCCCACAGAGCTTCTGTACGGAATTGTACACGGTGTCATTGTCTTGGCGGCATTACAAAAACGTCGACGGTTTTCAAAACGCCATATTCGATGGAGTGAGCACCGATCCTATGTTTCTCTTGCCATGTGGCAAAGCTGCCAGGGCGATTGACTTTTAATGTTATTGTCCGATCCTTCACACAGCCATCCCAATGCGACATGGCAAAGGTCACTTGACTACGGTCGTAACGAATTTGAGCCATCGTGATAGTGATATCGATTTCTCGCTGCCAGAACGCAAGATCTTCAACCTTGATTTTCACAAGACGTTCCCGGTGTACCGACTGTGTCATAACCGTATGTGGGGGAGGTGACGGAACTGGTGTCGGTCGGTTTTGCGACAGAACTCTTAATAACCCTTGCTCGTACGTAGCGCTAATTCGCTGAGCGTCGAGTTATCGCCTCTTGATTCAGTTGGAGCAACGAACGGCGTTATTTCCAAATAAAGCTTGCAGCTCCACCACATACTCCCACTGCGAGTGTTTTTGGAGCAAAACTTCCTCTTGTTGATCCGAGGACGACCACCGCCTGCGGTGTCTCTATCGCCCATTGATAAATCCATCGAAGTAGTCGGCGGCATGACTACTTGTAACGGAATTGTCAGTCAGTGTAAGTTTCTGAGCAAGGCTTAGGTCAACTGGCACGTCCCACCGCGTTTTGCTGAATTCCAGCGGGCCGTTGACTTATGTAGAAGGGAGAAAATATGACGTGACATTTATTGCTATATCCAATGGGCCTGTTCCCCCTCTAACCTGATCAGTACTTCCATTTCAGATACAGCAGAGCTGAAAAGGATACGAATGCAAAACTAATTTCAGACACAAAGCAGGTGGTCCACATAACATGTATAATTGGACTATATAGCCATTCCGAGCCGATCGATTCCGAATGCTATGGTATTCTTCGAAAGACCAACACTTTATCATATCTGACCAAGTCGTGACTCAAATTGACAGCGGTTTGATCAGAGTTCTTTAAACTTGAGACTCTCACCAAAAGGCACTACTTCACACTGATTGTAATGTACACGATTGCCTGCTCCTAGGTGATTCAAGTTCTGTCCAGTCTTATAGAGTGTTGTTCAACTAGGTGTATATAGTTAGATGACCACAATGCAAATGAAACGCTTGTGCAATAAATGCTTGTTCCTTGATAATTACAACTCAGGTGTCAACCCACGAAGCAATTACATGGAATTCTAATTTTGAGTGATGCTTGAGTTTTAACGCTGTATATGACAGCATTTTGACCTGCATTAGTGGCAATTATCTTAGAGATCACAAGAGAAGCACGCAATTTGTGTTGGAATAAAGAGGAGCAAAAGAATACTCTTTAAGCGATCAGTTGCTCGTCGATTCCTGATTTTACCTTGATCGCGCATGCGCTGAGTCCTTTGTAAGACTTCAGAACTACTGATGAGTGTTAAATCTTGATTTAAATTTTGTTTGCAAAACGCACGCCGTGTACAATGAGAATTAATTGAAGTCAGACAAGTTTTCAACATGTAGTATTAGATCGACCATTGCGTACTATTGCATGACCAAACTACATCGTTAAAGATGATGTGTTAAAGCAGCACGAGCGATAAGAGCAAGTGGAATAAACTGAGCACACCGTCAATTAATCATTTGCATTCTGCAGATCGTCTTTTACAGCGACACGATTTCGATAAGGGTCAAGATTATCACGAGAGTTCGACAACATCTCGACACCTTGTGCAAATTTTCAATTAAACTTTTGTACTTATTTTCAGAAAAAGGTGCTCTTGTGTCCGGCACACAGACATACTTTTCGCGAAATGGGTAAAGCTATATATCTTACTGGAAAAGACCGTGGCAGCTGTTATCTGAGATTACATTTCACCGATATCTTCATATTGTATTTATGAAGAAGCAAATCAATAAAGTATTCAGACCTGTATCCGAACCTATTCCGGATATACATCTGTGCAAAGCAGAACGATAATTCTGGTCTTTGTTCAGATTTTCTAGCCGTAACGATTTGACATGCTTCTCAATCTTCAATTGTACCGACCATGTCGACAAATCCAGACATTGAGAGATGATACTTTGTTGATCCAGCTTGATACTTTCCATTAGGATAGGCTTGAAACTGCTTGTCGATGGGAAAAATCTGTCTTTGACATGTGTCAGCTAATCTCTTCCAAGAAGATAAACATTTCGTTTCATTGTCCTGCCATACTTTTTTGGTTTTACTGAATGTCCTCGACACAGCGATATAAAATAGTAGATCTGTATCTGGAACAGCTATCAATCCATGTGCGTTGCAAAACGCGAGCAGATCTTAGTTCTGATGCGAGCACCCTTACTAATGCTCCATCTGCGCTCTTCTCTTTTGTATACAAACGCCACAGTTATCAGGACAAAAGTAGCGTATATTTCCATCAAAAAAGTTAGAAGTATCCGCTGACACATCAAGTTACCATTCAGACCAAACTTCTAAATATTTAGACAGGTAGGTGGTATTTAGCAATAACAATATGCTGAGGCAATACATCAGTAGATATTTCTGATACTTTAGCCTTTGTATCTGTGGTTCAATGTGCTGGAACATTTCTTAAGAAGGATTGGATGCACATCTTAACCACTTCTTTACTATGTCATGGTCTATGATAGCTTCTTAGATGGGCTCACGGTATAGAAAATTAAGTATAAAACTGGTCTGAGGATCGCGGCAGTGGATGTCGCGTACCAGACAATTCAGAATTCGGCAACCTCCAAGTCTTTTCATTCTCGATTTCCCTCGCAACCTCAAACAAGGATGCGCTTTGCCATCTTCTTCCTGATCACCTTATGCAGCTATGCCTATGCTAATGACGGATTGGAAAAGAAGGCCAACAAACTGCCTTATGACTCACTTGTTCCAGTTCTTCCCTCTAAGCCCAATTGCCGCATCAACTCGATCGCTCTCCAGTTTCAGCCAGAACTTAATATCAAGCATGGCTGTCATCCGTACCCAGCCGTGGACGATAATGGATATATCAGCAGTGGCTTAGGTGTTTCGCACTTTTTCACCGACTGCATGGGATCGCCAAAAGGATCACAAGTTTATGGTCGAGCGTTTGTGTACAGGGGATATTTGGCAATCATGTACGCTTGGTATTTCCCCAGAGACTACGTAGCCACTCCTTTCTGGATTGGTCACCGCCATGGATGGGAGCATGCCATTCTGTGGTTTGGAGGTATGACTGAAAAACCAGAATTGCTTGCCGTTACTGCCAAGTCCTTGATTGGCTACCGCACTTATGCACCGCCTCAGTCCAAACACATGGATAAAGACAGATTCAAGCTCAAATACACCTGGATGGGTGTGACGCAACACTATCTGTCTGCCACTACGAGCCCAGGAGAACTCCAGAGTCTAGTGATGTGGGACGACCTGCCGGACAAAGCAAGAGCTTCATTGAAGCCAAGATCATGGTCTCACTTTAAGCCACCCCTTGCTGATAACAGGTTCTTCCGCGCTCTCCGAAAAGCTTATCCGTTTTGATACAATTTTCTGACTCTGATCGCTACAATTGTTGCAGCTTTCAAGAAATAAGGATTTTAAAATAGTTAGCCATTACGGCATCCGCCATGGTGTCTTTAATCGTTAATTATCCTTTTCTCATGAGATGTATTCTGTTGTTGTATTCCTTGATCTTTGTTGCAATGAATGGCAAGTAGCGTCAGCGATAATAGTGTGCTCGGTGCTGATTGACGTCTTTGCCATTGACTGTGCTGAGCTTGTTTAGGCAGCGGCATGATAGGGATGACATTCTGTTTATGAAAAGTAGAAAATCGTTCCAGTTACTTCGATAAAGCAACGTCCAATTTTTCTTGCATCAAACATCTCGTGATTGACTTAATTACTAGCATAGATATTAAAGTTATGTCTACTGTGTTGATCTAGATTACACATGCTGCCGAGTTTCGATTAAGGTGGTAATTCGATTGATTTTGCGTTGATCGAGAGCTTATAGTGTGTGATTACTAGAGAAGACGTGTGTTATCGTGCGACTATTTGCAAAATGAATTAACAATGCTATTATGTTGATGAGGACCTTTTGTTACGTAAAAGAATGACTGCTCAGAGCAGAAAATCAGAATATAGTGACTAGTGGATCATGCGTGCTATTTACACATTCGAACAGTCTGTCTTACGTCTATTTCATTAAAAACGAGTGAGATGGATTGAAACACGAACTAAACACACAAACTTAAAGTTACTTAAAACGATGCAGTCATGCTTTATGTTCATTTTGGCTTCGGGGTAATCCAGATTTCATTTGGTGCTGAAGTCGTGCGAATCTTCTTGCGGTGAGCTTCACAGCGACATGGCCCCACACCTCTAGAAATTTTAAGATCAATAGGACGCTCGCCGCAAACAAGTCGTCACCTTCCGGACTGTATTTTTGATAGAATTGTTCAAATTGATTATTTCAAGCCTTCACGCATCTTTCTATAGCATCCACTTCATTGCCGAGGACATCATAGCAGTAGATATACACATTATGCCCTGTTTGAATTCGCTTTTACCACTTGTACTTCTCCCATAGTTCCAGTTCCATACTAAGCACCCCTCCTACTTTTGGTCTTTTTTGTCGTGTTCGTGGATGCTCAATTCTTCAAAGGTAAACTATGTCTCGCATTCTTGATGATGAATAAACTATTTCGCAATATTTACCAACAACGTTTGAAGTTGTTCGAGTTCATGGCAAAACTGTTAAACCAGATCATACTGTTGCGCCAGCATAATCCCCGGTTCTGGCACCGTGGTTGGCCCAAATATCGCACTTCGCTTAAACTTCCATAATCAACGTGGCTTCTTGGGGATGACATTTCCAAGCTTAAACAATTTTTTAACAGCATGACCAAGATGTAGCTAATTTATAAGCAGCAGAAACGTATAACTTTTCATGTTGCATTCATTAGGCTAAGAATGCGAAGAATCCGTCAGCGCCGACTCCAAATGTAGATACTTTTGCCGCCCTAAACTTGTTGTGACGGGGCTAAAAATCTTGCTTCTTTAGCACACCTTAATTATTTGAGGAAACCTGTTAAACACTTTGCAAATTGGGCTGCATTTCTAGACCTAACGTCGTTGCTAGCCACACAATAGGCTGCATTGACGACTGATAGTGATTATTATCGAAGGTTATTCCTACATGTGACTTTTGCACTACTATTAGCCCTACAATACATACTTTATTCCCTTAATTACTCATGTAACGGGGCCATCATCACTTGTAAACCTGGACCGCCGTTATTTGTAGAGTTAGCAGAGTTATTGAGTTTGTATAAATTTATGTCCCAGAATTCAAACTTAGGTAGATATTTGCTATAAGCACGAGCCCAATGACTACAAATGCTATCGATGACAACAGGTCTATCTTTTGGCAGAGCAACTTTCCCTGAAAGACCCGAGATACCACAGCGTAACGGAGAAGCCATGAAGCTTGCATATAAGGCCTTGCTAAAATTCTTGTTTGTGTAACTAACACATCACTCGGACTCAACAAGAAATAACGATAAAAAGGCAGGTTTTCATGGCTAACCTGGTGTGTCACCGGCAACAATTTTTGCAGTAAGACAATAAAGTCACATGTTATCAAAAATCAATTGAATAAGCACTATCTCTGGAACTTCAAGCCTTCACTTTGGTATAAAGAACAAGCACATGGTCGCCCACAATGCACAGAAATTTAATGAAATGGCTCACCGGGAAAAGCTTGCACCGCGTACTCGACAGTGGCTTCCGCGCTCAAGGACCAATGAGTCCTGCTGATCTACTTTGTAGAAGGCCCTTATTGTGGTCTGAGTTTTTTTGATCGTTGCTGTTGTGAGCATTGCCAGTACTTATGGTAAGTGATAATTTGTGGATTTGTCAGCGCTCACAGAGCAGCTTTTTGGCGCTCGGTTTTCTTTCGATGTGAGCAATAGATCCATATATATGGCATCTACCCCAGCGCGACGGGCAAAATCGAATATCTCGAAATCATAATCAATATGCAGCGGAGCTGCTGTAATTCTTTAGTTAGGGGAAGCTAAGCTAAGGTCACCGAACTTTTACAAGAACCAGTACGAGTGTAGTAGATCGCAATCCAATACATCCAAAGTACTTAACAACCATAACCAAGGTACATTTCGCTCAAAACTGAAGCTGTATTTAATTGATTTAATTGCTGCAGAGCCGCCAATATGTAATATAGTAAACACCTAATTAACTACCCGCAGTCCAGCCGCGTAGTGGCTTCTTATTAGGATGTAGCCACACCATTGTGTAATTACACCAACTTGTGTAATGCATACCTTTGTACGGTCACACAATCTTGTGTGACTCACCCTTTCACACACGGGTACGTGTAATCCCGTTACACACGACGTGATGAATTTTGCACAAGTAGTTGGGATTCCTGCAATTGCAGACAGAATATTTGGTAGGTTCGTGCTATACCTAGGTTATCAGCCGCTGGGCAATCATTAGTGAATTACAGATGACGAATGCATCAGAACGTGCTATTTTAATGTCTGTCAAGTAAAATGTAGCAAAGCAATCGTGGTACATAGTTACTCTTGAATCTGCGTAAGAGCGGCGTCCATAGCACTTTTGTATGTTGTGGCACTATGAGAAAAAGTACTGTAATCGTGAATCAAATGGGATCTGCTCGAACATTATGCGATGTCATAAATTATCAAAAGCATATTTGACACCGTTGATAAATATCTTAATGAAGCACATAAAGTCAAAAATAGGTCGCAAGTATTCAACACATCCAGTTTTTCGACCTTTACTCGATATATTCTCCAACATGCATGATGTGACCTACACAGTTGTATCACTCAATGTTTGGACGTCTCTGATACTTCAGACAACTCTTAAGCCATACTTAGCTACTCCAGATTATCAATTCAATGTCTTTACAGTACATTGAGGGATACATTGTCCCTCGTGACGTTTGGTGATGTCTGTCGACTATGCACAGAGATAACTAAGGAGCCACAGACCATACGATTGACAGCGTGTCTTTTTTTACAATTGGCATCATTGTGCAAATGATGATTGCTTTAAACCAATTGAGAGCATGCACAATGTTCCTTTTGTTATTCGCACTTCTGGCGTGAAAATTCGCTGCCAAGCGAGAGATTTTATTCACCTTGCACGCACACTGAATTTTATATAATAATTAATGTGTCATGGATATTTAATTCAAGAACCAGATTAAATTTTAACGCCCGAATTCACGTTAGTGGCGCGTTTCTTGTCACCGCGTCGATAACTTTTCTTAAAATGATCCTCGCGAAATCGGCTAACTCCTCACACCAAATGTACTGCGAGAGTACCTAACATCGAGCTTATTCGTGGCGGGTTGTCTTCTCATCCTCCGGCTACAACGAAACCAATTTGCTAATTTAACTGCAATTCCTATCACACGTCTACATCCAAAAGAGTACTCATACTTTTGCCGAGGAGAATGTGGGATAACATGAGCTCCCGGGATTACTTCGTCGCTCCTTTACAACAAACAAATTTGTCGCCACAAACCCGCGGAGCTTCACTGCTCCGTAGGTGATTTTCTACACGGTTCCTCTAACTCAAGAAGCCGTTGTACCAAAAGGATGAATTATCCTCAACAATATCAGAGTTTGCCCCGTCTACTTCAGGGTTACATTCGAATGCTTCCATAGGGCGTCGGCAGAAACACCGTAGAACAAAGTCAATTTTGCTTTTCTCCGCGAAGAACGAGACATTTTACCCCTCTTATCCACCCCCCAAAAAATATCTTGTGTGTTTCCAGCATAAAATCGTCACATCAGAAAATCACTTTTGGCCATCGGTTTGCGGATGTCCCGTAGACAGGACCGATCCGATGCCACACATATTTTAGCAAAGTTTGCCAAATCGCCACAGGTAAGCCGTAATTACCAAGAATTGCATTGCTGTATCCTTACTGGAAAGAGTGTCGCCGACAGCAGCGAGATAAACCATTTTGGCTAGACGATACAATGGCACTATTACTAAATGTGTCTTCGAGGGGGAATAGAATTGAAGCTCGTTCTATCGTTCTGCCAGAATTGACTAATAGCGACTGGCAGGCCAAAAACACGTAAACATGCGACGCGTACTTTATTTGTTGCGACGTTCCACACTCGCGGACAAAAGATCTACTTTGTACATCTTAAACCACAATTAATTAGCGCTCCCTGATCAACACATACCTCTCACTGACTAGCATATACCACTCTCTCACCCGTATTTCGTTTAAATAGCCGCTAGCAAAAGATATCGTACACAATTTGTGCTTCAGGCGAGTCGTCTCATTCGGTCTCAGAATTGCGAGAATCATCTACTTTGAACTGGGTGTTAAGCTAAACACCCTTAATCTTCAGTTCCTGCAGAAAATAGCTCCGCTAGTCCACATGGTACAGCTGTATCAGCTACTAATGAAAGATTGAATACAATAACATCGGTATCTGTTTGCTTTCGAAAAGCGCGCTGCGACGTCAGCC